TTATAATTCAATTATTTAGAATTAATAATCTGAGTATAGAACGATAAAGCAATAGATAAAATAATTATATTAATCTTTAAACTTCAATTAATTATTATTAACTAGTTCGGACCTTATACATAATCACATTACATGGTATTCGTGAGATGGCCACCGCCTCTTCGTTGCCTAAAAAAGTTTAAAACCTAGTGTGATTTCTACTGTATAGATATAACACTTCGACTGGGTATTCGTGAGATGGCCACCGCCTCTTCGTTGCCTCCGTGTATTATTACAGGTACTTACTAGTTGAATCATTTACAATATCTCTATAAGAAGAACCTTAATTATTACTTTTTATATCTACTTGTTTTTATTGTTCTAAACCCTCAGACTCTACAACCCCGATAGAACCTCGTTGCTCACCAATTGACCAAATCTCCAAAATATCCAATCTTGGTCAATAAATACACCCTAACATCTCTTTTTTTAGTTATTTTTGTATTATTACAGTACGGTATAAGTCCCGAGACCATAGTCCAAGCAACACATGTTCTTTGATATCAGCAAAACCCAATCCAACACTTAGACAAAGTCGTATTATATAGTGTACATAAGCATGAGTTGACTCATTTTTGCCTTGTACACGTTGTTGCATTGTTTGATACTTTTGTGTGAAACTGGTTTCAGTTATAAATGTATTGCTAAATTTGTTTTCAAAATCTGCCCATGTATGGAATGATTCATAGTACAATAACAACCAATCCTTCGCCGCACCTTCAAAGTGTTGACGAACTAATTGCAATTTTAGGGACTCTGTCCACCCATTCACCTCCGCAGTTGCATTATAATTTGACAGCCATACCCCAGCTTCTGCTCTGTTTCCATCACCACCATCAAATATACCAACCGCTTCAATTAAGTCCGGAACAACTTGATAACCTGGTGATGGTGGTGTTGTTTTCCTCTAGTACCCTTAACAATTCCAATAACGTCACGTTTGACTCGCCCGAAAAATCCAAAAATCGAGATATCAAGATCGATAACAAACCCAAACTAATTTTTTCCACTAACACGGCCAAGAACACAAAAAAAACCACAATAACAACGTAATCACGTCACGTGTTTTCCTGTATCGACAGATGTGACGGGACTGCTGATAAGAGTTCAACACAGTTGGTCGTCTACCACATATTATACTCTTAATCTTTCATGGGAAGGGGGGCCTGTGCCGTTCACCATATCTCCCCGCCCGTTTACACCTCCCATCTACCTATGGCAGGGTAAACCCACATCATGTGGGATAGGGGGGTATCCAGCTCATTTATTATACATCTACTTACAATGATGGAGTCCTTGATATTTATTGAAGTTATTCAATCTAAATGAGATAAGAATCAAACGTTCTTTGATTTTTTTTCCACCTCAAAAAAGAAAAAAATGTAAAAAAAGTTAGTTTGATGAAGGAGGTCGAACTTTATACCCCAAGCGTATAAAACTATATTATATTATACGCAGCCACCGCGAATTACATGGACATTAGCTAAAAACGAGCGAATAATTTAGATACTTCAAAAATTCAGCTTTTCTTAACTTTGTGGAAGCAAAATAAGTATAAATTTATTTTAATGTATCTTAGATTCATGTAAATATTATAAAAATTGATAGACTCATTACTATGGCAAACCCTTATAAAGTATTTTATAATAAAGAAAAAAAAAAATTAAAAATTTGAACACAAAAGTAGCATTTTTTTAACTACGGCAGTTATTTGCACGTAGAAGATAAGTCCAGTTCCGCACGAACAGTCCGATAGGTCGTACGCATTTTACTCCGCTCTCGAATTATGTTCAATACTATCGCTCTGCTCTAAACGGGAAATATCTACACTTTACACCAATTGACGAGAATTGTGCTCCACACTTTAACAAGTTTTTTTTTTTTAATTTTCACCCGTGGAATTTAAAGAAATCTATAAATTTACTAATCAGGCTGACGTTTATAGTGTACTATGAAAAGAATCTTTTGGTTACAAAAAATTTTTACTACCACCATTTGTACTTTCTTACAATGATATTGGACTTTTTGAGAGTAATTTCTTCAGAGTTGTACAAAATTGGAAGTATAATAGTTTTGAACTTACAAAATATATGGACTGCATAAAAAATAGCGTGTTGTTCATTACTTATTATTCTCTTATGCGTCATTTTATGCTTATATTTAGAGCACATAAAAAATATTTTTATCAACTGAAATGTACCTATGATGAATATGTTGAGTTATTAAAAATCCCTTTAAAACATTAAAAAACATACGTGAGTTTTTAAGTTATACACATTCTATTACATTTGACGAAATTGAGAAGCATTAGATTACTGTTGATAGAAATGTTTCAGGTTCAACTATAAAAGAGTTTAAAAATTTGATTAATAATATGATAATATTTTACGATAGCATCAGTTAAAACTTTAATGTTGCTAAAATAAACTATAGAAAATTAAATTATCTAATTGCGTTAAGAAGTCCATTTAATTTCTTAGAAGTAAAACTAACTTTGTATTCGTATAGAGATGATATGAAAAATTACTACGAGAGTGTAAAGGAATCCAGGTTTCCCATTGATTTTACTATTTTAAAAGTATTTGAATACTCTGTAGATGTCTAAAATTAAATTACATCAAATTTATTATAAATCTTGTTTTGTCATTTTAGCTTAGATGCGAAGCTGAGAAGGTATTAATTTTACTATGATGTGTTTTTTTTTATTTATTTATAAAAGACGAATCCTATTATGCTATATTTAAGTAATTTATTTGGGATTCAAAATAATTTTTAATGAATACCACGAATAAGATAATTTTTATTTAATTTTTTCGATTTACTTGTAGTTAAACTTTATTAATAATCGTATTAGTATCAGTTTAATACTCATTTATTTTCAATATTAGGATAAATAATTAAAAGTAAGTGTATAATTTTTAAGATTTTGACCTCGCTTGCATAAAACAAGTTACCAAATTAAGAAAATTCAATATTTGATATGTTTAAGTTAGTTTACATATTCATAATATTACTAATAAATACAAATTTTGAAATTATTTAATGTTAATACTTTTTAGTCCTTTTATAAAGTATCAACACTAAAAACTGTTTCCATCCGAGCCATAAGCACTTGCAATGATTTTATCATTGCAATAATATTGATAAGAGCAAATTTTTCAACATCAATATAATTATAACGAGTTACTCTTGATTTATTAACTATGTAATACTTTTTAAGTTCACCCATTATACCTGGTAAGGGTGTCAACTTTGTATTTTTTAAATGGGAACACAAATTTTAAATTTAATAAAATATTAGAGTGTTTAAATTAATAGTAAATGGCAATTGAATTTTTAGTATAACTTTATTTGTTTATTAGATATAAATATTTAAAGTTTCAAATTTTTAAGTTAATATACATATATAATACACAAGGGATTACAAATACAGGTAGCTAATTGGTTTTTTATGACATCCATATTAGCAGGTACACAGCATTGTTATTTTCAATGGTAGTAAGGCACATTGTTGCGAGTTTATAAATACATCAACTGACAATACAGAAAGTATATCTATTGATAGTCATAATTGATAATAAACAATCCGTGACTGTGAAAGTAATGTCATAAAAAACTAATGCTTAGATGGATGAGTGAAATGACTAGAGAAGATAGGATAAGGAACGAACATTTAAGAGGGAGTATACAGGGTGATCCATTTAACATTGACCAGCAAATATCTCAAAAACTATTTATTATTTTAATAATTTTTTTTTTTAATTATTTTAGTTACATAAAACTCTACATTTATCCATGATCAGATAATTTTTAGGTTCATCCCTTATGCCTTAAAAGGGTACCAACTTTTTTTTTTCAAATGGAAACATATATTTTTAGTTAGATATATTGATAGAGTTTTTTTTTTTTATAATTTTTAGCGTTTGAATTTTTTATTTAAGTCGATTAGTTTGCATGTTATTTCACTTTAAAGTTTTGATTTTTTTTACCTATATATATGTATAAAACGGGTAGACTTGTAATACAGGTAGTTAATTGCAGCGGTTATGATGGCTCGTAAAGACACATATTAGATAAGATAAGATATTTGCTGGTCAATGTTAAATGGATCACTCTGTAGGTGTAGTGTTGATCATAGATAAGATGAGAGAAAATAGACTTAGATAGTTTGGTCATGTTATTAGGAGAGAGGAATCAAAAGCTGTTATAACAATTTATAAAAATGAATGTTGAAGGAAGAAGAGATAGAGGAAGACAAAAAAAAAACCCGCACAGAGGGTTGCGACACAGTGGTGATAGTTGGATCAAGTTATTAACATCACTATCATAAAAAACTAAAATATAAAATATAAAGATATCTGACAGTGATTAAAATCAATATCATAAAAATAAATATAGTAAAAAAAAATGAAAAACCCGTNAATAGATATAGTAAAAAAAACTAAAAAACACACGCTTTTAAATCATATCGAACTAAAAAGTTAAAAATAAGCTTAATACAATAATGAACGAAAAATACTAGTATTATTGTGAAAAAAAGCGTCGGGCGCTCAATATACGAAAATTATGGCACAGAGCCCCCATGCTTTTTTTCACAATAATACTTGTATTTTTTGTTCATTATTGTTTTAAGCATATTTTTAACTTTTTAGTTCGATATGCTTTAAAAGTGTTTTTCAGTTTTTTTTAACTATATCTATTTTTCACTTTTTAGTTTTTTATGACATCGCTGTTACAGTCACGGAGTGTTTATTGTCAATTATCACTAGCAATGGGTATAATTTCTGTATTGCCAGTTAGTGGGTTTATAAACTCACAACAATACTTGATATTAAAAAAGATGATACACATAAAATGAAAAAAAAACACTTTTGAGCGGTAAAATGATTTTTATTATAACTAATCATAATACTTGATTAATTTTTTTTATCCAATTAAATAACTAAAAATTTAATAAGCTCTTAAAATGTAACTTAATTTATTTAATTAGTTCATGACTTCAATATTGATCTAAGAATTGTTAATTTTTATTGTACATAATATTACACATTACTATAAATATTTTCAATGCTAACGATACTAAGATGATGCTGTTAAATATACCCTGTAAAGTGAAACATTTGATCGTTTGATTAAAAAAGAAATCTAACTATGATTTTATGTATGTACAAGGAAATTATTTTGATGGACAAAACGTAATACATGAATATAAAAATTTATAATTTATTTTTGGTAAAAAAAAACAACAGGGTGAACTAAAGCTATTATGTATACTACAATATTTACATAAATATTTTCTTATCTTATATGTATATATCACATTTTCATTTTAAATTATAAATTTACAAAATTCTAAAATGTATTTATATACATAAATATATATATATTAGAAGACGATCAACACAAGAATAAGGAGGATAATCACATAATAGAACACAGGCCCGACATTTCCTTACCTTTATTGACAGCTGGATATTCTTTGAGTTTCTTAACATTATTCAGTAATCTAGGTTTTAGTTCTCGCTTGGGTTTTAAAGGTATAACAACTGTTTCCATTTCAAGTCCAGGTGGTGGAGGTTGGTCTGGATCAATTTCACCAAATGTCGGAGTAAAATCTTGAGGAGACTTTGGTTCTACAATAGTAGATAATACTTCTACAGTTGGTTTTAATGGTTTAATAATAGCTGTAGCTTTTTGATTTATGTTTATTTTAATGGTACCCATTGCAGGTGCAACAGGTACATTCCATTCAGTATCTGTATTTCCATCAATTGAACATGTCATAGTTGAAACAGGAGATGGAGATTTAGATTTTATTGGTTCTTCAGTAAATACTTCTGATTCAGTAAGAAGTGGAGTATTATTATTTTCAATAGGCTCATCTTTAACTTTTGGTGATAATACTTCAGTAGCTGAATGAATTATCTCCATAGTTTCTGGAATTTCTACATCGTCAAAGACATTTTTATTTATTTTAATATCTGCATTGTTTTCATCAGAATGCAAAATTTCACTGTTTACTTTTATAGATATTTCATCTTTTTTAATATTTTCTAAAATTTCTTCTTTTATATTTTGTTCAGATTTAACTTTTATTTCTTCTTCTTTTATATTCTTCAAAGTTTCTTCTTTTATCTTTTTCAGAATTTCTCCTTCTAGTTGCTGTTCTTTTTGAAGTTCAATTTTTTTAATTTCTAATTGCTTAGCTTCTTCAATGGCTTCATTTCGTTTACGAATTTTCTCTTCTCTTGTTTTCTAAAAATGTAAATATTAAAACTTGCATTATAGTTGAAAATTTAAGTAGTTAACTTACAATCATATCATCATAACACATAGGATGATAAAGACGTTTATCCTTTTCAATACAATTTCTAAGTTGCCACTCTTCATCTTTTTCACTGTAAAATTGCTCAAACTGATCATGACACAAATAACAGGCTGCAAGTTCACTATTTTCTCCAGCTGGAAAACATGGTACATTTTCTTCTTCTTGTTGCTCTTCTTCTTTAACCCCCTCCTCACTTTGTAATTCAAACCAACTAGCAGCTGTAATTATTTACAAATTAGTAAAAATATTTAAAATAAATATTATATAAAAAAAATTACCTCTAGTTGACTCATCCTCTTGTTCTTCATATTTACACCAATCGCTAGTATCATAATACCACTTCCTTGACTGTACCGTTTTACTAGCCATTTTTTCACGCCGATTTTGTCTAAAATGCCAATCTAAATGACTACTATATTTGACAGTATATTCAGCAGTGAAACGAATACCACAAGAACTACATTGAATACCAGTGTACAAATTATGTATTAATCCTGGTTGTTTCCTATAATGAAAAAAAAGACAATTTAAAACACTTAAGAATAATTTATAATCATATACTAACTGTTTTAAAGTTGAAGGATCAGAAAAGTCTACAGGTTTCACAGCCAAATTTTCTTCGTTTTTCTCTTTTCTAACAATTTTTGATTGAATTATTTCTTGTGGTTTATCTTTGGGAACAATTCCACTATCTACAAGTTTTTTAAATAATTCATTTATATCCATATTGCTAGGTAATACAGGTGCAGTGGGAACAGCAGGTGTGGCAAAAGAACTAGAAACTACTTCCAATTGTGGTAATACACTAGGTACCAAGTTAACAGCTGGTAATGAAGAAGCTATAAATAAATAATTATAAAACATTGAATTATTATATATATAATATGTATCTTAATTAAATGCCATTAATTATCTTACGTGGAATCAAAGAATATGTTGAAGAAGTAAATGATTGTGGAGGTTGGCTTATATCTTCCACCGATGTTAATGGCATATCAAAACCAGTAAATTTAGATGGTATAGGTGGAGCTGGTAGTGGTGGTAAGGTTTCAGCAGCAGTATCTTCAGTTAGTACAACACCCATCATTTGAGAAATTGCAGCATAACCAGGTCTAATATTTGATGGCAATCCTGTAAATCTCAAATAATGTTTTTTCCCCCTAACAATTATTGCCTGCGGAGGTCCATTATAATTAACTTTAAATGGCTGATCATTAATCAATGCTCTCATTAGGCCATCAATAAATCGAAGAATAAGTGCTGTGTTTCCTACATCAATTCTTTGTGGTTTAGCATCTAAGTAAACTGGTACTGTAAAGTTGTTATCAATTATAATAGCAATTCGTCCAGCAACTAAATCTACACGTTTTGTAGTACCAATATTAACAGAAGGAGGAGGCCCTTCCAATTTAATAGATCTTTTAACTGCTCCGAGTTCAGTGTATATTGGAGGACCACCAAAAAAGCATTCATAGAAATTACCATCCAAGTAAATTTCTCTGGTAGGAGCCCCCAAACGTACTCTATGAGGTTGGCCATCTAATAGAAATTCTCGATCAGGAGCATTAAAATGACAAAGAACTGAAAAAAGGTCATCAAATATTACATTTCTTGGTGGTCCTTGAAAATATATTTCTCTAGGATCATCCCATGAAACAAAAGTAATTGCAGTGGGACCATAAAATCGTATTTCTCTAGAAACTCCATCAATGTTAATTGTTTGGGTAGGGTCGTTTGCTATCATATCTAATATTACAGGATCTGAAGGGGGAATAACAGGTACAGTCCAATCAGGTGTTGATGAAGCAAATGGAGCAGTAGGTCTTGGTACCTCATACATTGGAGGTGGCACTAGAGACCTAGAAGAATGTGAATAATTAGGCCGGGGTCCTCTTGACCAAGGTTCTACTCTATTCTGGGTAAATCTAAGTCCATTATCTGGTCTTGTATTCCAATTTTTGTTATTCTTCCAATTACGACTTCCCTTGGTGATATCTTTCTCATTTCGTCTAAAGTTTTTTCGCTTCTTAAATGTTGACCGATCGTCAGAGTCCAATTTTCTAGGATTTTTTTTTGATTCTTCAGATTCAGAAGAAGTACTTTTAGAAGAACTATCACTTTCACTTCCACTAACACTGCCATCACTATGTTTTTTATTAAGAATATTCCATGGTCCTGTACTAGGAAAAATTTCACCTACTAATGGTTTTAAATTTACTCTTTCATCTATATCCATCGGTTTATTATCTTTTTCATTTCCTAAATAAGATATTTTATTATTTTCTATACTTTTAGATTGATCTTCTGTAACTTGATTACAACTTATTAGTTCATCACTAGTTGGAGGTTGAACACTGGCCTTACTTTGCAAATCTAAATTAGAAACTGGAATTGTGTCATTACCAGCTTCTAATTTAGTTTGTATACTTAATCCATTTTCACCGCATGATTGAGAGATTTTAGGTATAACATATTTTTTCAATTTCAAATTCTTATCATCATTTTTCTTAGCTTCCTCTAACTTTTCAACCTCTGTCATTTTAAGCACCTTTAAAAATTAAAATTAATAATCTCCGATTATTGCAATTAAATATCAAATAGTTTTTTTTTTTTATATAAATTTCATACAAAAACATAGTAATGTGATAATTGTACATACCTGACACATAATTTTATTATATTCATCAAAAGATATATTTCCAGCATTTAATGCTTCTTCAGCTTGTTTGAGGATAAGACTACTGTTACTTTGTACCGTTTTAGACCTCATATCTACATCTAAAACATCTTGAGTTTCTATTAAATGTTCACTGACTACACCAGGCATTTTTTTTGTTGGTGATTTATATGGTGTTTTAAAAGTATCTGGTTTAATTTCTTTATATTTCGCCCACGATTTTCCCGATTCTTGTTTGATTGTTTCCGTTATATATGGCGGAGAAGGTACAATAGTGGGTGTTGTTAATGTACGCAAATCTACATCTTCTGCACCAAAAAGTCTGAAATTTATTGATAGTCAATTTTTTCTTAGATTTTGCGACAAAATGAAATTCAAAGAATAACAATTGAATTTATAAAAGATCACATCGATTATTATAACAGTATAACCAAGCGTCCTAATAAACAAATTAAGACACTTATTCTTAAATAAGCATAAGAACTCTCAATGTTTGAATAAGCACGACAACATTTATACTGACAAATATAAATCTGTGATGTTTCTACATTCAAGTTATCATTATTTGTTATCTTAATGTAACAACGCTCGCATAATAGAAAATAAAAGATAAACAAATTTCAAGAATTATTGAACCACATACATTGAAAAGAAACGAAGTTTATTAATATTATAGTATAAAATCAACAATTATAAATATTTGTATCAAAATAAAACATGTATTCATAATAAGCTTTATAGTTGAAACATTCATACATTTAAAATTTAACTATATAATTTAATAAAAATAAATAGTGTCATTATCAAAATAAATGATACAAACATATTTATTTTGAGACCCGAGTTTGATCGTTAAAAAAATGCTCACAAAAATAGATATCTACTATATGCATAAGAATTAATATACAAGAATAAATAAGTAAGCATTTTTCACAAAAAACACCATTTAGATTTTAAATTAATAGGCATCAATTTTAAAATTTAATTATGTTGGGTACTCGTATTCTATTCCCTTAACAAAAATAACAATATTGGAAACTTATTTTTAGTTCCATAATTAGTAGTCTTATATTATATTTTTAGATTTAAAACGCTAGCGTAGTTTACCAAGGCTAAGCTCTCATAGAAACATTCATAGCCCCATAAAAAACTGTTTTTTTTTTTAAGGAGGGAGAAAGGAAATATAGAAATTAGATATAAGAAGTATAGTAGAGGAGTTCTTCATTAGACATATTATCCAAACTTCGGAAGTAGAGTATAGGTCTATAGCCCTCTTATGATTCAACATTTTAAAAATTATGCAAAATACTCACTGGATCAAAAATAATTAAAGATATCAAAACCTAGTGGGACACCTGTATATTGTTATAAACATTTTTAGAGTGGAGGAAAATTAATTTAGTCCCCCTTTCAAAAAAAATTTTTTTTCAGATGGGCGTCTATGGACCCACAGATAAATATTTTTAAGCTACGTCCATGGTTTTGTTCATACTTAAAATATAACAAAAACTGTCTCCTATTACTTTCACTAAAAAAAATTTAGTTAACTTTGAACTACTTATTTTGTTGGTGCAAGGAGTTAGTCTCTATATACATTAAAAATAATTACAAGTATTTTTAAACAGTGGCAAAAAAAAATTGGCCTGGAAAAAATAATTGACTTACTGTTTTTGAATTTTTCTAGATAAACAAATAAAAAACACTTAGTTAAATTCATTTTTGTCAATTAATTCAAATAATTATTATGAAACAAAAATTTAGAGACACGTTAATTTACTAGCGTTGAAATTGATATATTCTCAACTTTGTAATGAAATTACTCAAGTGTTAAGTGTTGTTATTTTACATAAAATGTTATTAAAATTATTTCACTATTTCGAATTTCAAAATATTACTTGAAAAATATAACGTTACACGTAAAATTATAACAACAAAAATTTTAAAGTCGCAAAACTTTTAATTGACTAAAAAAAGGTTAGACATTAAAAATTAAGCTAAATTGTCTACATTGCAAGCATAACAATACAGGTACTTTTCAGTATATTCTTAATTTAATTAGGATTTAAGATAATCATCAGTTAATAATGTTAACTTACTCGTCAATAATTTCAGATTTGCTTTTCTTAGCCATTGGTTCATTATCATCAACTTTGATTGCATCGGAAGTTGTTCTCTTGTTTGTTGGGGCTATAACTCTTAGGTCTATGTCATTTTGTGGTGTGATTAAAACGTCTGCAAGAATACCTTTAATTTTCATAACAAGACAAGACATAAAATGTAGAACGAACTCAATCATTTTTGGAATGTTAATAAAAGAAGAAGTACGCATACAGTGAAGTATTACGTTCGCTATTTTTATTCAATCAACTCAACTCGACAAATTTAGTAGTTAGTATTTCATAATAATGAAGTATATATTACTTAATAATAAAAATTTTAACAATATATATTGAATAATAAATTTGCCTTACACAAAATAGGATTTTATACCTCTACCATCATTTGAAGTTTACTAGAGTTTATAATAAATTTTATTTGTCATATTGAATAACACACAAGTTCCACATAACAATTTACGCAAATGTATTTGTTTGAAACTTGATAATTCTTACTAAAGAAATCACCTAACAGTTTCACATATTTACGCGGTGCTAATATCAATCTACAACATAGGCATGCACCAAGGTATCCTCAGTAGTCAAGGTATTCAGTGGCCAGGTTTTACATAATTGAGACAATTTTATGTTAATAAACGTTAATTCATCAATATTAGAAAGGAAAAACAAGCAAGGAATTAAGAAAGAACTGCATTCAATCCTTAGGGGTGTAATATCTGAGGATATTGTACCTTAATATTACCACAATTTTAGGCATGAGCAGTTTTCTTAGTTTTCTAAAAGAGTCAAGAATAGATCAGTCATAACTACAACTGGCCCCTGACACTCTGCGCACACCTATGATTCACATTATGTATTAATTGTAAAATAGCAGAATGTTTTAAATGCACTTGTCCACCTTCTTTACATTTCAAAATAAAAAATTTATCAATGGGATACAGCTCACTTTTGTATGGTCAAACAAAAAATAACATGTTTGATCATAAAAATTTCATTAGCTGATACCAAACTGAGTTCATGAAGAGTGACAGAGACAAATTTATTAACACATTGTTACAATATTGTTTTCAGACTAATAAGAGTTTAACCTTTTGGATCATTTATGAAATTTGCATAATACATTGATAGTACTCTATATTAATCTATATTGTCGTCAATTAATTATTTAACATACTCTCAGACAATATTTCAAGATATTTTAAGGAAAAAGGTAATTAGTAAAACCAATGATCGATTAACAGAGTTTATAAAAACTCACTTAACATTTTTTACACAAAAAAAAATTAAAATTACAGAACCATGTTGGAAAGTTGAAATTGTTTTTATTTTATTTTGGCGGAAAAAAATATCCAATTTATTTAAAAATAACAATAATTCGCCAATAATGAGTAATATTTTTAAAAATAGTCGATTTGACAATGTAATCTTACTTTTATTCGAATTTAAGACTGGAATAATTTTGTCATTCATTTCTGTAGAGGTTATTACAGAAGTTGATGGTTCCGGAGATTTCTTCATAGTTTGCATATACATGTGAAGTCGTTTTAAAGAATCTGAATCTTCTATATTTGAATCTTTCTTACTCAAATCACAAATAGCTGGGACTGACTTTATAATATCTACATCTAAATTATCAACTTTAAGTGCTGAAATAATTGTCGATTCAGTCACACACTCTTTGGCAACAGAAGTGTAAAATGGTTCAGAAATGTCTTTCTTAGAATCTTCAAAAAGATTTGAATTAGCATCATTGACAGTTATGTCTTTTTGAGGAGATGAAAGAACATTTAATACTGGTTTATTCACTTGACTATTAATAATAGCAATTGTACCTTTCTTCTTGCTATCCAAATCTTTGGTTTTCTTTTCATCTTTTCGCTTATGATATTTGTCATCTTTAGGACTTTTTTCTTTGTAGTCAGATTTCTTATTCAATTTATTTCCAGCCTCTTTCTTAACTGGTGATCGACTTCTTTCTTTTTTTCTCAAATCATGATGTTTGTTACTTTCACGTTTTAGTTTATCAAATTTTTTTTCTTCTTTTTTTTTAGATAATGGAAGTTTATCGTTGTTGTTTGATGTTATTTTAGCAGAATTTTCTGTTTTTCTTAGTCGTGGGTCTCTATGCCGAACAGTTTGTAAAAGCTGTGTACTAACTGGATTAATTTTTGTACTGCTTGACAATGGCATATTAGGAAAAACATTAGGAACATCCTGTAACACAGTTATTTTGTTCACAATCAACTAAAATATTAATCAAATAATCAAATTATTATTCTAAAAAAATAATTTGGTATCTCAGTTGTGAGATTCTCTATCCAAGCTATGTCATGTATTATATAATCAATGAAATTATTAATAATACTTATTGTATTATATATCATTAATGAATAATTTATTTTATTTCAATGGAATTAATTTTAAAATATTCTAATGATCACAAAACGAAAATCAATTAACTGTGGCTTTTACCAGAATTATCTTGAAACAAAGTTCTGTTTCTATCATTAAAGCATCATTATAAGCATTAAAGATACTTATGATTTCAATTTAGAATGATTTATTTAAAATGCAAGTATTTCAATTATATAACAAAATCTTTAAAATTTAATTATTTATAAATCTATTGTATTTTTAATGTTATGTTTTATTTTTTATTAATTTTAGACATAAAATATAAATATATACCATATTACATAATCATTTTAGTTTTTTTTCTCGTTTTAGTAATAACTTAATTCTTCAAAAACACTTATCTAGTGTAGAAACGTACGGTGTTCAATTGTCCTAGCAAGGAATTGTTAAGACACCCAGTAAAATATATAGGTTCATTTATTATAAATATTGTTAAAAATTTATACATTTTTTATTTTATAACTGTAATAATTAATTTAAATAAAATTAACTTTTTTTTTCTAATATTTTCAAAGTATTTAAATAATTTTGAAGTATTCAAACATATATTATTATCAACATTCAAATACATATTCTAAATTTAATCATTTGTTTGTTTGGATACTTTTTATTTATAACTAAAATAAGTCATCAAAATAAAATCAATTACTTTTGGTGCTATATTCAATTTGTCTATTTGTTTTTGCTGCTTTTCTAATTCACTTTTAGTATGTAATAATTCAAGCTCCAACTTCTTTTGCTGTAGTTGTAATAGTTCTTGATGCTTTTTAAGAAGCTGCTTTTGTAATACACTTTGATCTTTCACAGCAGACGAAACAACAGGTTGAATTGATGCTGATTTTTCAGATGGATTAACCTAAAATGTTTAGATTTTACTAAATAAATAAAAATCTTGCATTACATAACATCAAATTAACAATTACTTACAGTATTTAAAAACTTAGGATTAACATGTATATTAACTGGAGCAGCACTAACAGGCCAATTTTTATCCAAAGCATTAACTGCCACATCTACTGAGTGAAGTTTACTAGCAGGTATAACTTCATTCCATGTTGAGCGTAACTTGAACATATTAGTCCTAGTTTTCTCGTCAACCTAAATAAATATTTGTAATAATTGCAAGTAAAATAAAAGTAAGAATAAAATAAAAACAGATAAAGAAATATTTACTTTTAAAAATGTGCTAGCAAAAAGATGCTCAATATTTTGAACAAATAACTGTATATACGGCTGCCCAATATTTTTGATAATAGAATCAATCAAATATAACACTGGTAACTTGCTTTCTGCCTGCACCTAATAATAATTTGCATTAATATTAATTTATGTTATAAAACAAACCTGATTTTCTTTTTTCTTGTGATTATCCATATCTTCATATTATATTCTCCAAGTTTGCAGATATATAATATAAATAGAAAAGTAGTATACACTCTTAAGTCATATTTATATATAAATATCACAAATATTACCTTTGAAGAAATGACAATGTATAAACAACTATTATGAGCACACAAAACTATAAAAATAGTTATTTCAAATTTTTTTATTTTATTTAATCTTACAAGTATGATTGAAGTAAGAACACTTCTATCAATGCCACAAGTATAAGAAATTTAAAGATGATACTTCATTTCATAGCTAAAATTGAAACCCTAGTACTTTGAATCATGTATTAAAACAGTAATTGTGTTGTTCTTCATTTATTATCAGCAATAATTAAGCAACTATATTTTATAACCATTTAAATAAGATCTCTATAAAATAGAACAAAGAAGTTCGTATTATGATCAAACAAAAAAAAAACTACCTTTTTATTGACCGAGTATAACTTAAAATTCAACTATTTATAAAACTAGTTTTACTGAAAACTTAATTTTTTTTATAAGAATTAACAGCTAAGAAAACAAATGTTCTTGATTAATAATATTTACCATAACACCAACAGTTTTCAGGATCAGTATAGGAGAAGAATATATTAATATAAAAACTACCTTATTTTATTCATTTAATAAAACCTCAGTCTTTTTATAAAAGTGTTCGTGATTAGTATTTAACTGAAACATGGTATTAAATTAATAATTTTTCACCTACATTTAGACTAATTTAAATAATTAGTAAGAAAATGAAAAGCCGCCAATCACAATATTTTTATTAATCTAGAAAATCTAACCCAACTAGTCTAAACTAAAAAAAAATCTAATCACATTAAATATAAGGCCTAAATTTATATGAAAATTTTGTAATATAGGAAATTAATTTATAATACATTTTTCTTATTTTAATGACAATAAGAAATCCTTAAAATTGTGAATGCAATATGAAATAATGCAATTGATACTTCTTGATGAATTCTGGTACAAGCATAAGTATAATTAGTAAAAATAATTCTATGATTTAAGTTCAGTTGATTATCTTACATAAATATAAAATATTCTTTTGTAGTATAGTCTAACATAATAAAATAGGTACTCTAAAATATTTCCATATACAAATTACAAATAACATTAAAAAGTAGTCACATCTTTAAATTTTGAGTTCTAATAATGTAAAAGATAAAACACATGGTCACTACAGTGATATTAATAAAAAAAAAAGTACTTATTATATGTTAAATTATGCATTAGGTGTCTCGCATGAAGGTTTAAAGACCAATTAAAAAGGTTTACTCTAAATTGTATATAACACCATGTTGAATAGTCAATGTCAAAACTTTTTTTGTATTGAAATATTCAAATTAGTAAATTATTAATTTATTATAAACTTTTCATAAAAAAAAATCTTATTTGATATGATTAATAGCTTAGTATTTCATTCACCATTGGTTAATATATTTTGACCAAGTACTATGTATTATATATATATATAAATTTTTTTCTTCCCCAGCATCAATTGTTAAATTTAACAATAAGTCTAAATGATTATTACACCTACCTGATGATAGAACTCGTGTATTGATTGAAGGTATAATAATTGTTGTTTTATAATATCCAGTGAATCTTGATGTTGACTTAATTATGTTAAAAAAGAATAGTAAAAATTATAATAAAAAAACCCAGCAAAGTCAGGATGGTGCCTAGTAACATCAATGCAGTAATGAAATTTGACAGTAATTAAAATCACTAAATCATAAAAAACGCTTTAATACATATCTGTAGATTGTATTTTAATTTTTAATAGGGATTTTTGTATATAGAAAATACATCATGAAGTCACATTTTTTAAAAATATATTGTAGAAAAGAATGTTAAATTATTCTGACCTTTGTAAATGAATTATAATTTAAGTTAAAATTTAAATTTAGTTTAATTAGAGTTAAAACATTTTTTTTTTTTTTTGGAAAAACTCCCCTTATTCAAAAAAATGTATGAACTCTTTTTTTATTCCTTAACTATGCCTTTTGAAGTAGGTATGCTTTTTTTTCTTTTATAGTTTCTAAAATTAAAACAGCTGTCACTCATTGAAAGACAAATAATATAATACAATTTTTAATTGTATAAAATTGATGATATAAAAAAATTTTTGTTGCCATTTGAAAATCAAAAGTCGATATGACTCATAAGGGATAATAGCAGGAAAATAATTTTTCCTATAAAACAGCTCAACAAAGATACACTTTTGTTAAAAAATTACACAATGATTAGCTATAATACTTTCAAAGATATTTCATGAGGTGTAGTTAAAGAATCACTCTGTTAAGAACACAAGCATAGGGACAAATTTTTTTTTAACTTGTACTATATAATATAAACTTTTATTTAACGGATGTTTAGAAGACATTTTTCATCTCCCCTGTAAACAGGTAAATTGTTATAATTACAAAACAATTTTTTTTGATTTAACTATTTTTCACTAAGTTAATTTATAAGATCTTTTGATGTATCGTTAAGTAAAACTAGTCTAGTGAAAGTTGAGAGAAAGCAGCAACTGATACAAATAAAATAAGTACATCATAGCAAAATTAATAGTCTCAGCNATAAAATAAGTACATCATAGCAAAATTAATAGTCTCAGCTTTGCATCAAAGTTAAAAATATTGCAGTTAATAACAAAGAAATCCATGCAACTGTTTGCTACCAAGATATTTTTTAACAATTAATATGATAATGAAACTTTAAAAATTGTGTTAAATATTAAAATCAATTTGAACATTACTAAAGCTAAATAGTAATTAAGACAAAATCAAGTTAGTTTAATAACTAGTAGTTTATATAACTTACCAAAGAGGAAAAGTATCTCTCTAATATTTACCATAACTTATTATCTAACTTCATTTAGACAACTATATTTCATTTAAAATGCGAGACACCTTATTACATTACTTCAATACGAAAATGGTAAAATTATAAATATTTAATAGCATTTAATACCTATTATTTTTTATTTATCTCAATTTCAAACAGAAATCATAACTTTTATATGTATAATATATACTGTTCCCTAATACCATGCACACACTTCAATTTTTATTAATATATCTTAGCTAGTTTGTAGATTGTATTATGTAGTATTATTCATAAACATACAAGATAATAACAATAACCATTTATTTATTCAAACAATACGTCTTATTCAGACAACCAACATTCATTATTAAAAACCAATGTAAAATTATACTGGTTGAAAATTATCAATGCATTTAACAGATTTTTATTAATCTTAAACTAACAAAGTTTGTTTTCAATCATTATTTTTAACAGCATTAATATTTGAAATAATTTTGAATAATGTTTTGTTTACACTACATATTATAGCATGATTTAACTACGGTTTTAATTAAAGTAGCAACATTTATAATTCACAAAACTATAATGAATCTTTTATGTTTTTGTGACAACCAGAAGATAAGAACATAGGACCAAAAAGTATGTATACCATAATTAGTCACATCATATATAGTTTATTTCATTTTTGTTTCAATATTCAAATAATCACATGTATTCATACTCTATCTAAACATATGCCACCATTTTCAAAGGGAAAGCATTACTCCTTTTTATAAAATATTAAGCCCACATTTTCATTACTTCCATTACAATGAAATCAATTCATTTAGATAATCCTGATTTTTTAAATATTAGGTAGGATTAAAAAATTTTAATTAATACATGATAATTAAATAAAAAGTGCATTCCCTTTGTCATGAGTGTCAAATATTCATTACTATTATGAAGTTTAAAAACCTTATGAAGCTGTCTTTCAATACACTGAACTATGATTGGAGCATAAGCGGAATTTTCTTCAGCAAGCATTGTTAACATGTTAATCAATGGTTTACTATTGATGTTGAGATCTGCTAATGCATTGGAGTACTCTTCCGAAACTTCAATTTCTTTAGCAGTCATGATGAGTTTTGTTTAGTTTGGTTCAATTTTCAATAGAACTGCATTTAACTGCAATGTTTAAATAATGATTGTCAATAGATTATTATAATATTTAGATAAATATAATTCATATGAAAATAATAAATAAATAAAAAAAAAAAGATTGATATTTGATAAAAATAAATTAGTATTAAGATGGAACTAGTGATAAAAAATTATTATTCACATTATAGAATAAAAAAATGAAACTATTTTATCCAATGTAACAAAAATAACTATGTACTTCTAAATTAGTTTTAAAAATTATCAGTATAGTATACTATCTACACTGAATAATTTTAGTCTATACATTTTTCATTTATTATTAAAAGTATAAATTAAATGTTTCATTTTTAAATTTGTCTAACAAAAATAAAGAAGTTTAAAAGAGAAGAATTATCTGGTAATGATTTAGTAAACAAATACTTAGACTTCTAAAGGTATTGTACAAAACCAAACTTTTTGATGAAAAAACATTATTCATCAGGATTTCTTATTTTGATATAGAAAATTTTATTGACTCGTCAATATTCGAGAAAACATTGTTTGCTTTTATAAATAGAAAACTTTTAATTGATACAAAAATAGATGAAAGTAATGTAAAACAAATAGGATTAATTAGTAACTATTGACAACTAAAAAAATTATTTTTGTGTAAATATACATTTTTTTTTTACATTATAATAATATGAATATTAAAAGTGTACAGTTTGTTAATACGAATTACAAACAAAACTATATCTCTTTTCTATAACATTTTAAGAAAAACAATTGTTTCAAATAAAATCTAAAACTTTACTAACAAAACATTTATTATAAATAGATGACTAAGTATTCAATTTTAAAAAGCCTGTGATTATTTACTATTCTAAAAAAAATATCTATACATTAATATTGCAGAATAATAAAAATGTATTCTTTAACTTTTTAAATTTCATATAAATATTACTCATGATTTATTTATTCAATGGCAATAGAATATTGTAATTAATAATTATATTAAAGCAAATGTTTATCCTTAATATCCTTTTGCAAACATTTGAAAATTATGCAATATTGATAATACATATAAAAAAACAGATGTGTATTTATTTTTATTATTACTCTATGATTTACTGAAAAATAACATTTTAAAATATCAATTAAATAAACATTAAAGATCTTGAATATCTATACATTATCATAATTATTAAATGTGTTAATTAAATTGTAAATGAAAGATATTAAATAATTTAATAAATTAACAGAAAAAAATTGACCAATGCTTACACTGTAAAACAATTTTTTTTTATATTAATATAATTACAGTTGTATAACAACGAATCCAAGGTTTAATTGTAATTACAAATAATCATTATTATTCTATATAATACAAAATATAACATTATTCAGGGTAATTTAGAACTGAGTGGTGAAGTGAAACACAACTAATAATTTTTTGATAACAACATTGGTATAGATTTTTAATTATACATTAAACTGTGAAATTAAATTAAGGAAAATTTTATGTATTCATGTTATGGTCAGTTTAATATAAAAATAATCAATGTAAACTACTAAAAAATATGATTTTGACGTTTCTTTATTTAAAAAAAATAATTGTAATATTTCAAGTACCTTTTTACGATGGTTTAAACACAATCTAATTTTAACAAAATTGATATTCTGAATCGCACAAAATTTTTGCTAACTTGGAACAAGTACCGATTATCTTTTACTTTAATTTATTAAAAAAATGTCTCAATCTATATCAGGTAAAATTCATACATTGTCGCACAATGTTTGATTTTTTATATAATTTAACTTTTATAATAAATCTGTTAGAGTACTACAAAGGTCAAGATAATTTTTATTCTTCCTGAATAACATTAATTTGTAACATTTTAATGTTAAAACAAAACGTTTAAGATATAAGTACAAAATATATTAATTTAAAACCTGGTTTTAAATTTAACTAAATGTTTGATTTAAACATAAAAATACAATTTCATCAAGACCAACACAAAACAAACAAATCTCACCGTTTACTGATATTGTACAACATAATAAGGACATCATGGCCGTCGAATTATGACAGTTTAATTTCGATAAAAAAATAATTATATGCGATCAATTTTTATTTAAACTGAGAGATAATATACAACTATAATCACTAAAATTAATAATTTAAGAATTACTAATTTATCATCAACATTTCCGTAGTACAACTCGCAAATAATTTGGAATCAACTTACCAAATATTGGAAGTTAAGCATTGACGTAAACAGTCGTTTTCAGCCATATCGACCATAGGCAGGTATCATATGGCTCGTTCGGTTAATGGAGTTTATGACACCAACCACTAGCTACGCTAGCGTATCACCGACCATCGGTTGATCAAAACGGTTTTATTTAATTTACTATCATAGACAGTACAGTTTGAATAGAATTTATTAATTTATTTTTTCTAGGCATTATTTAATGCCTTGAAAAAATAATAATAATTTTAAATATTAAATATTTTGCTCATTATCAATTTTCTAAAATTTAACTGATTTATTATTTACAGTTATCTTAGAACATGTATCCCAAGATAATTTTAATAAATCAAAATGTGAATTCCTAGATTATTCTTCCTGTAAGTATTGACCTAAAAAATGTTAAATTCTTATTATTTATGCAATTATTTTTATTTATAACAGGTCAGTCTGAGTTGAAAGAAATTTCATGTATGTGTAATAAATTTATGTATTTATACTTTGCTAAATCTTTTATCTCTGCTTATTTCTATTAAAGCTTTCTCAGTAGTTGTAAAGAGTATAAAATGTATAAAAACCTTAAAAAAAATGGTGATTATTCACTCATTATTCAAATATTATGAAATATATTTGTCAGATACTAACATTGAATTTAACTATTTAAATTACAATATTTAAATATATAGGATTATATTAATTATTTTCAGATTTAATTATTGAATCTGATAAAATATTAGAGACTTTGTTGAATAGGGTAAAAAATATTTTATTCTTTTAAATTGCCAACCCTGATTATATTGCTGTGTAACAAAATTTTTGCTGTTTTTCTAAAATGTCATAAAATTTATATTTAGGGGTTTTGAGTAAAATTGGTGTTAGGAAAGTAAACCAGCTAACATCCAAATGCAAGTTATTATACTAAGAAGGTGTACTATCGAGTAAACATCTACGGTGAGAGCAGAAAATAGCTTCTAATTTTAAAACTCGTTTGGCGGCAGCTGAGAAAATTTAAAAGGGGTTTTGAGTTCAAAGGATGTAAACCATATTACTTATGCAGCTACGATTTTCACAAATTTACAGTTGTGTGAAATTAACAGAATAACACATGGCAGAAAATTAACACTACAAGAGAAACTGCTGAGCTTATCACTGTATAAACAGAGTACAAGGTATACCGTATTTTGGCACAACTATTTACCTTACCAGGCAGAAAGACTTTGACAAATTTACTATCTAAAATTCTAGTAAATCCAGAAATTGATAATATGTTGATGAAAGCCTTGAAGGCTAAAATCATCAAATTAAGTGATAAATACAAATTGTGTGCAGTTTTATTTGATGAGGTTAGTTTAAACCCAAATTTAACATATGATCTGTAGTAATTAGATGAGGAAGTATTGAATTACGTCGATTTTAGTATAATATAAGCTTTACAATAGTAGTAAGCAATTTTTGAACTCTTAAGCAATATAATAATTCCATATAAAAGGGAAATGCAGGGTAAGCAAATTAATAATGGTGGGAAAAAGAATATAAAAGGGAAACATGAAAAGTATAGGGGGACGATACTGGGCGAGACGAGACTGGACGTTTTTGTCGAAGAAACGTCGAGTTACGGGTTAGGTCGTTGACGTAAGAATAACTTTATATTTTTTTTATAAGATTTAATTAATTTTTGTGTTAAATTATTATATTATATTTGACTTTGTGTTTGATACATTTCGTAAATAAAATAACTATTTTAAAATCTGGACTTAGCGCAAATATTTAATATTCACGGTGATCTCGAAATTGTGTGTGTGTGTGCGGCTAGAGTCTAGGTTGGACTGCTGGTCCTTTAGTCAATCTTAATAATTAGTGTACGAGCTGGCTAGTGTTTGGGCTTAACCGTCCTTTAGTGGGTATAGTAAAAAGGTAGTTGTGCTGGTGGCTGACAAGGAGCCACCCTTCAGTCTGCTACTTTTGAGTTAGACTGTGCTGACGGGTCTAAACTCTACCCCTTTAGTAGTCCACTAATTAGAGAGATTGGGGCTGATCAGTTTATCCAACAGGAGGACTCGAGAAGAGCTCGGACGACGAACTCGTCGTCAATATATATATATACATAAAACTTTAATAAACCTTTGTGTCTACGTTGGGGCACTACCGACGTACGACAGATTATAGTACTGGAATAATAACTGGTTTTGAAGATAATAGTATAGCTAAAACCCAAAACTTTGTCGATCATAGCTTGGTGTTCATGATCCATGGTGTGGTTAAAAAGTATAAGCAACCCATCTTTTATTCTTTTTGTAAGAGCACCACTTGTAACCATGATTTAACAAACCAACTAAGGAACGTTATACGAGTTGTGCATGAAACTGGACTGCAGGTTATAGCAACTATATGTGATCAAGAAGCCTCAAATAAAGCTGCTATTAACATTTTAAAAAATGACATAGAGCTGATATGATAAGAAAAAACAATGATTACAAGGAAGAGTTTTAAAATGTGGAATCTGGAAGAAATATATTATCATTTATATCAGTGTTTCCCAACCTTTTTACCACTACGCACCACTTCGGCAATATTTTATAGGTCACGGACCCCTTCAATTTTACGAAAACTAGGAAGACCTTTTTTTGCTCATTAACAAGAATACACAAAATTTATCAAAAAATGTTAATTTTTATTACTTTACACTTTACATTTTATTACTATACTTGACTAATATATAATTATACTTTACTATACAAAATAATTTACTTAATGTAATTTTTGTGACTGCATTTCTTTGACCAGTTTTTCAATTCTCGGATGAATGTTGCTCATAGCTAAACGTATATCGTCACTTACGTATAAGCGATTCCTCTGTTTATTTTTGATGACAAGTAGACTAGAAAATCCTTGTTCACACAAATATGTAGTTAAAAATACAAGTAAATAACGCAAGGCGATTTCCCGGAGTTTAATATGTAATGTTGCCCTTCTGCACCAAAATTCCTCAAGGTTCATACCAGAATCAAACATATATTTGCAGTCAAAGTCATTTTGCAGTTCGATGACAGCTTCTTGAAGATATTCTGGGGCTTCTTCCACTTTTGCACAAAAAGGGTTTCGAATAATTTTTTGAACACTGTTAGCTTTGTTCCATTCCGGAAAGTAGCGAGTAAATTCAGATTTTAATTTTTCCAAATGTTTTTTTATGTTCTGTTGAATTTCGATTCTAGTATCAGCATATTGATCGTTGTTGATAAGAGTTTGGAAAGTCTGAAATGCCGAATAATTATTATTCTCGATTTTATTCATCCATAGATTGATTTTGCATACAAATGCGCCAATTTTATCTTCAAAAATAAAAATATTTGCTCTAAATTCCAAGGTTTTGTTTCCCAAACCTTGAAGTTGCAAATTAAGGTTATTTAAGTGTTCAAAAATATCTACTAAATAAGCAAGTTGTAATTCAAATTTCAAATCACAAAACTTTTCGAGTAACTCTGAATCCTTCTCGTTTAAAAATATTTTCATTTTCTTTTTAGTTGATACAACCGTTTTAGCATATTTCCTTTTGAAAGCCAGCGAACCTCTGTATGAAAAAGTAATGTTTTCTATTCGGAGTCCATTCAACACAAAGTTTTTTGAAAATACGTGTGTTAAGTGTTTTGCTTTTCACAAAGTTCACTATCTTTATTGCTAGTTTCAAACCGTTAGCTAATTCTTCTGGTAATGTTTTTGTAGCTAACGCCTGCCGATGAATGACACAGTGTATCGTTAAAATTGACAGATTTTTTTTCTTTTACCAATGTTGCAAGACCTGAACGAGATCCCAGCATAGCTGGAGCTCCATCTGTACAAAAGCTAACTAGCTTCTCCCACTTGAGATCATGATGTTCAAAATAATTGCTAATAATTTGCTTTACATCAATCCCTTTCGACGTTGTCTCTAGTACACTTGACATCAATAACTCTTCTTTTATTGTCTTATCCTCGATGTCTAAAAACCTCACAAAAACTAATAACTGGCAACATTGTACAATGTCAGTAGTTTCATCGCATTGAAGAGCGAAGTAACTATTTTCTCTCATCCTATCCACGATTGACGCTACACCTATACTCCCTCTTATATGTTCCTTCCTTATACTATCTTTTCTAGTTACTCCACTCATCCATCTAAGCATTCTCATCTCTGCTACCCTCATTCTCTGCTCTACTTTCTTATCTACCTCCCAACACTCTGAACCATACATCATAGCTGACCTCACTACAGTCTTGTAGAATTTACCTTTCAGCCTCATTGGAATTCATTTATCGCATAAGACGCCAGACGCTTCAATCCACTTCAACCAAACGTACTTAATTCCTTATCTTATATCCTCGTAAATACCACCGCTCTTTTGCACAACTGACCCTAAATACTTAAAACTCTCTACCTCTCCAATCATGTCCTCGCCTATTGTCACTGACCTCCTCATTTCACCTACCTCGTGTTCTCCTTTGTCAAACTCGTACTCTTTATACTATGTCTTACTTATACTTATTCTTAAACCCTTTTCTTCAAGAGCTGATCTCTACAACTCTAGCTTTTGATTAATTTCCTCCCTATTTTCTCTTATTAACTCTATATCGTCAGCAAACAACATGCACCACGGTACCTCTCCTTGTATTTCTCTAGTAATTTATCCATCACTATAGAGAATAAATAAGGGCTTAAGGCAGAACCATGGTGCACTCTTACCCTTACCCTAAAAACCTTCTGTTACTCCTCCTGCATTTTTTACCCTAGTACAAATGTCATCATACATATCCTCTATTATATTAAAGTACTTTTTTGGGACTCCTTTTCTCATTAATTCCCACTTTAAAACCTCTCTAGTACTCTATTGTACGCTTTCTCCAAATCTATAAATACCATACACAGCTTTTTCTTCTTTTCCCTAAACTTTTCTATTAGTTGCTTCATACAAAATACTGGTTCCATTGTTGACTTACCAGGCATAAATCCAAACTGGTTTTTAGATAACGTTGTCCCATTTCTTATACTCTTATCTATTACCTTTTCACAAATTTTCATACTATGACTCATAAGCTTTATGCCTCTAAAATTTCCACACTCCTGTATGTCACCTTTACCTTTAAATATCGGCACCACAATACTATTCCTCCATTCATTTGGAATTTTCCCTTCTAATAAGATTTTATTTAAAAGTTCCTTCAACCACCTTATGTCAACACCGCCTAACATTGAAACTTCATTATTCTGATAATTGATTCTTTTTTGTTTTAGCTTCGATGGAAAATTGAGAAAGTATTAATCTTACTATGATATATTTTATAAGGCAATTTATTCAAAATTAATAAAAAAAAATGTAGAAGTTTTTGTATGAAATATTTAAAAAATATATAATCTAATTGAACACGAATCATTTATTGTGTTTTTATTTTATTAAATTGAATCATCGTATTATTATATTATTTAAATATTTATGTAGAGTTGTACACGTTCAAAAGTAATAAAAAAAAATCATAAGTACCATAATTAAAATTGTTATTTTACATTTTGAAAAAGGTATACACAGTTGTAGTGTTGAAAAGTGGTAATACTGATTTAACTAAATAAAAATAGCGGACTGATTCTAATCACCTTTCTATATAGACTATATAAATTTTTATCAGTGTCCATTCTGTTTATTGTTTGATAGAAACTATTACCAGGTTTGTATCCTTATCAATACAAGGCAATTGAACTTAGTTATCAAATTTTATTTTTATCTAAAATTTATAAAAAGAATTATGACTAATGATTTGTTTTAAAAATGATCAACATTGGAACGAAAGACAAAATGTAATAACTATTTTTCATAATTACTCATAAATGAGATTTCATATTTTATTATGTCAATAAATTATTTTTTTATTTCCATAATATCTACTAACTGTTGTCGTTGATTTCCTAAAATTAAAGTAATTTTTTAATTACTGGAGTATTAGTTTGATAAAGTTAATTATATTTATTGTATTGCAGTTAAATTGTCATCTAATATGGAAGATTATAAGTTTCTTTTCAAAGTAGTTTTAGTTGGAAATGCTGGCGTTGGAAAAACATGTTTAGTTCGTCGTTTTACTCAAGTACATAGACATATATATTAATAAATTGGTTAGATAGTAGAAAATTTAGATAAATATCAATTAATTATTAATTCCTTATTTCTCGTATCTTGTAATAAATCTTAAATTGAAGATCTGCCATAGACTATAAATGTTACAAAACAAATATTTTCAGAAAATGAAAACTGGATTTATCATATGTATTCCATTATATAATTCCTTTATAAATACTCTATATATTCTTGTATTGTTTTACAAAAGACAATACCATTTAACTATATTTTCCAAGAGAACGAAAAAAACTGAAATCACCCTCTAACAATTATTGTCTTATAGAAATTTATACATTTTTAACTTGATTATAGTATATTTATATCATATCCATAAAAATAGATAATAATAAAAAAATTTAGCCTGGCTACGTCTTATTTTTTATTTTTATGGTTTAGTTTAATATTGTTGGTTTTACTTAAAACATTTTGTAGGGTAAATAAATGTTGTTAGATTTATAGTATAATTACAAATATTACGTACAAGATCACTAATATTTTATTATAAAAATCTCATTTTTTTTGAAAATTGGCATACATGTGGTATTATCATTATTATAGTGTATAATTTATGTAAAATTTATACATTATACATTAATGTTTTGGCAAGAATAAGATTTTCCAATTTATGCACTTTATTTAAACTTTATAATTTTTTTTAAATACTTTTTTTTTTAAGTAATTTTATAAGGAATAAGTATTTATAATATTTTCACAATTCTATTTTGTGTTTCAAATTTAAAACTAATTTAGCAGAAACATATTATGTACCTTTTTTAAATCATTTTTATTTATAATATTAATCATTTAATATATTAGTAATATAATAGTATTTTCTATTCCTAAGTAACAGTTTGGATGTATTGAGGTTTATATTTTTTATATATTCCATTAAATTAATTTTATATAAATTCCTATGTCCTTTCAGAATTATTCAATTTCTTGTTTTTTAATTTTCTTAAATTCTAATTTTTGTTTAAAATAGTTTTAATTTTTTACTACATCACTTTAATAACTAATAAACATTTTTCTATAGGGGATGTTTCCTCCTGGCCAGGGTGCAACGATTGGTGTAGATTTTATGATAAAAACTATAGAAATTGACAATGAAAAAATTAAAGTAATTATAGTTATATAAATAACTTAATTTAGATTTGTTATAAAATTACTAATTTTTCTTACATCCTTGTTTAAACTCATCTTAATTATTATGATACAAATTAAAATAAAATTTCAATTGTTTTAAAAATAGCTACAAATTTGGGATACTGCAGGACAAGAAAGATTTCGTTCAATAACTCAAAGTTACTACAGATCAGCTCATGCATTAATATTAATTTATGACATAACATCTCAACCAACATTTGACTGTCTTAATGATTGGCTACGAGAAATTGATGAATATGCAAGTAATAAAGTTTTAAGAGTTTTAGTGGGTAATAATGCATTTTATTAAATTATAATTTATTTATATTTTTATGAATTTTACCAATAAAATATTCCTTATAATTTTAAGGTAATAAAATTGATAAAGAAGATCGAGAAATACCTTCTCAAGTTGGACAAGAATTTGCTCAACGACATGATATGCGTTACTTAGAAACATCAGCTAAGCAAGCTGACAATGTAGAAAAATTATTTGTTCAAATTGCTTCAGAGTTAATGGAGGTAAATAATTATTTATTTTGTGTTTAATTTTATAAAAACTTAGTAAAATAAGTTTATTATTGTTATTAGAGTGAAGTCGGATAATTGTAAAAGGATTTTTTGAAATAAATGCACAGGTTTTTATTTAGAACATGGATTTAATATAACAATACATAAGGACCAGAACTTTCCAATCTAAAATAAAAACTGCTAAATTTTCTAAAAGAAAAAATTAATTTACAATTACCCCACTTCACTCAATATAATTGTTTCTCTAAATTTTAGTATAAATGAAAGAGCTATGAAAAAGAAAATTTAGTATAGATTAATCTCATCTAACATAAAATGCTTAAATATTAAAATAAATACTACTGGAATTATAGAATTTTCCTGTATATTTACTCAAAATTGAAGGATAATAATTGAAGGAAGCATCAAGAAAATTCCTGAAGCAAGGCCTCTCTTCAGTTGTATATTTAAGTTGTTAATAGTTGTAAGAAACTTCACTCCTCCACTCATTCAAACCATAATGTTTTTAGGTTAATGGAAGATTTAGGCCTAATGTTTTTCTTGTAATTACTCCACTACCCCTTATTATTTATTAAATGCAAAAAAATGTCAAGCATCTTTTGAGAAAAAAGAATTACTAGGTAACACATAAAGATAGCATCTTAAAATTTTGGGCATTGGGTATCTACCCTAATTCAAAATTCAGACCTGTAAATAAATACAATTGTTAATTTTAATATTTTGTATGCTTTTCAACATCCAATTTTTATAAACTTAATCAAAGTGACCAAAATTAGTTAAAACAGTTATCATTTTGATTTTGTAGTACAATATTAATATTGCCAAAAGGAAGTATATCAGCTTACTTCTATATGTGTATTTTTGTGTATGTATATATCGTCATTAATTTTTTATTATTACTATTATTATTTTTTTTAGAAAGCAAAATCAAAAGGAGTACATTTGGAAAATCCACAGTCTGTACCATTTAACACCAGGACTACCAAATCAATCAATGATTTTTGTTGTAACCGTTAAACTCAAAAGAGTGAATCTATAGAAGTAATGGTATGAATTGATAATAGGAAAAATGTAGTATATTCCTTTATGACTTTTATTATTCATATAATCATATCTATATTTGAATTATCAATTTATTATTTGGAAAAATTTCAAAATCATCACCGATAACTTTTTTTACTTATTATTTTTTTTTAATTATAGTAAAACTTCCTATGAAATAATTTAATAATAACATAAGCAGTATTTATTGGTGAAAAATATTTTTTTCTTGCTAATTTCATTATATGGTAGTAGGGTTCACACTAACTAACATCATCAATATTAAGTTGTAAATTAAAAGAAGTACTACAATATGGATCACAATAAATTACTATTCTGTTGCTATATAATAAGAAGTTTTTCAAAAATATAATCATCAATTTTTTTTAGAATTTTGACTATCAACGGTTCAAAAATTCTTCTTTTTCCTCGCCTTAATCCCAACTACTTTGGGTTGGCCAATGATTCAAAAATTAGTTTAAATAAATTACATGAACAAAAATTGAAATTTTCGATCAATAATTTAGGGTTCAAAACGTTATAGTATTATTTGATTTTCCTTTTTTTTTTTTTTTTTTTT